ATTTTTTTATGGATTCTTTGTAGAAAAAAAATTCTCTTAGCAGTGTAATGGAGGATATTGTCCTCTGAAGGCTCTTACGCCTCAAGGCTTTGTCCGTGTTCTTTAGGTTGGACTGATCACTCTTTAAATAACATTATAATTCACACTTACATTAGTAAATAACTTTAAAATGGGACTTAAACTTTTACATATTTAAGTGAGGTGGAGGAATCATACATCATTGGGCTCATTGACTGGAAGTCATCAGTGTCAAAAAAGAAACATTTCTGGATGGTTTCTATCTCTCAGTGATGTCAGTAATCTGTGTCACACCAAGCTGGTGTATATCTGATAGGGTGTGTCATTATTTTAGGCCTGAAAAGTGGCTTATTTGCTCTCCACTGCCACAGCTACAGATAAATGTCACCTTTATCAAACCTGACCATTAAGAACTGCATCTTTACTATTAATATCTATCAAGGCTGATGTATCTTTCCATTCTTTTCTCCTGGCTTTGTGACTTAGAAATTAAGATGATGCTTCTATCCTGAGAAAGAAGGACCTCTGCTTCAACAAATTTGACTTCTGATAAGGGAGATTTTATACATTATACCATGGGTAGAACAAAAAAAAATTGTAATTACAAAATCTCATTAGAGATTAATAGTTAATAGAGAAATACACACATCTCATATATTTAACAACCTAAGTCTTAGATAGATTATACACAAGAAGTAAAAGTAATTGAAATCCAAATATTCATATTTCCTTTTAAACTGTGAAAAATGTTGCTTTTGTGTCATCTTAGTGTGAAATAATACTTAGTTCATTAGTTATAAATGTTTTTACTAAAATATAAAAGAAATATCTTTGTTAAAGGCATCCCTTGATCAATATTAGCAGAACTTACAACACAGATATATATATACAAGTTATAAATAAGGATATTCATTCACTGATTTCTTGTTTTATTTTTATTTTTTGATATTTCGCGAATTCTACCTAAGCAATGTAAAAGACAATTTCTTAAATTGTAAGTTTGTCAAATATAACTGAAAACGATATTGTTCTAGTTGTCAAGTTAAACTATAACGAATAAATGAAGTTGGGTAAACTTAAGTCCACCATTTTTACCAAGTGAAGCAATTTATTTCAGTGAGAGCTGCAGTTCCTTTCGGGTACAATGTTCTAATTCTTATAAGAGAATTGGATGAGAGAAAGGCGCAGAATTAAAAATCAGACGTAAATCTTTGTAAATTGTGTGTGGAAAATAGCAAAGAGAGTTTGAATGGCAGGATTGTGTTATTATTGCTAAATATTGCTTTGACAATATCATCTATAATAAATCATATTTTCCGTCTAATCCGTCTCTTATCTTCTGTTCTGCTTCTGTGACCTTTAGCTCGTTAAGCTTTAGTGTCTGTATTATGTGTGATTTTTTACTGCTTTGAGACTTTATGTAATAGGCTAGATATTGCATTGACATGCAAAGTGTCCTTTCCTTATACTATGTAGGGCAGTGCAGGTTTAACCTAAAATTCTTAATTCCACTAAGTTTTTTTGTGTGTGTACGGGTTAAGATTTTTTATATGGGGTTCCGCTGATTGTTTTAAGGATAATTAAGCATAGCTGACAGTCAAATCATTCTCAATTTGCACTGCAAAAAAAGTCTTTCTAATCTCTCATTGATGTTCAGTCCAAAGCTACTTCCATCTGTCTAAAAAACAGCTCCATGTCAGAACATTTATATTGTTATGTGCCCTTTATCCCCGTCTTTTGACAGCCTTAGATAGCTGATAACTTTATCTAGTATTATTTCCTTATAGACTGCTGAGTCTAAATGTCTCCAGGACATTATATCCACCAGCAGGAGCTCGTTCAACTTTCCTTTCATTTGATAAGGGTTCATAATCGCTTATGTCATAGAAATCAGGAGGAATAAGATAAATAAGGTGAGAGAAAGAGCAGAAAATAAGATTTGATTGAAAAGAGTCTTCAGAAAACAGACTCAGATTTAATTAAAATCCAGATTAGAGCTTTTTTGTTCGCATATTTTTAACAATTTAACAATAAAAAGAAATAAGCAGAAAAGTTTTTTATCCTTTTAAGTTGAGGAAAGGGGTTTAGACTGACAATATTGCATATAGTAATTAGGGTTTAAATTCTGAATAAAATTACTAAAAATTTGAAGAGATATTCAGCTGCAGTAGATGTGTAATTATTTCACAAATTACATTTTGTTTAGTCACCAAGTGTCTGTTTCAGGGCGTTCAAATAAGAGAGTCATAGAACTATAACCAACAGTTCTATAACAGTAATAATTTATTATAACTTGTCTCAAAATCACTTTAAGCCTAATGGAAATGTATTATTACAAGAAAGAATAAAGGGATCTTGTTATCCTTTCATTTTATGCTAAGTTGAGAGAGGAGCAAACTATTGTCAGCATTACAAGTCCCACAGAATCATTACCAAAACACAACAAAGCATTAGCAGCCACCTACTTTCTTTAGAGCCTATAATTGGTTATGATTTACAGTCTTTGGGGTTGTGTTGGTTTTTATTTAGATTTTTTATTCCCATGTCGGTGCAGACTGCTCAAACAAAATGTTTATGTTATAAGTCTTTATATTTATGCTAACTTTACCTGACTGTATTTATGCATTGGAGTAAATGCTGAACTGTGTTATTGTGAATGTTGTGCTTGGAGAAGAAAATAATAATTAACCCTGTTATATATCCTGTGAGGTTAAATATGGAAATGGGCCATAGAGGAATGTAACAAGGAAATGAGTGAAACAAAAATAATGGTCAAAATTAAATTTAACTAAAAATAGTCCCGTTTGTGCAGAAACCCTGTTCACAGCGGAATAATACAAGCAGCCTTAACCAGCCAATTTCAGATTCCACATATAATGGGTTGCATTTTTTTTTTGCAAAATTTTTTTTGTCTTTTTTGTCTTTATCATACTATTACTAAAACTCTTTATCTGCCAAGTTACCATTTCTGGATATAAACCACTTTGCAGCAAAAGAAGCAACATTGTTAGGTTGTATGTTGTCTGCAGGGTCCCCCTGCGTCCTGAGGCTGAGAGTAACTGCTTAATAAAATAATAATAGTAACCTAATGTTGCCTACTGTGTGTGATATGTTACCCACTATAAAGTAAGCAAAAAATAAGATTAATAATTCAAATTAACTGCATAAAAAAGTTAATAAGCTTAACTATAAACTTAAAGGTATAGTGGAGGATTTTAGCAAATTTCTGAAAATATCCACCCTTTCCACTTCAAAAAAAAGAACATGCACAACCCTGTACCCACTCCCTAGAGGGAACGCCTATTAAACGTGTGCGAGAGCATGCAGGAGCCCATTTCTCCTCGTGCACGCTGTTTAAAAGTTGCTGTTTGCATCGCTCATACAAGCTTACTTTCCAAAAGAAGATTTGCAATTTTTTCACAATGTCAGACTCACCAAAGGTAAGTGAAAATGGGGACGAGCACATAGGACGGGCTAAGGTAAACATATCACCAGAATGATTTACAATTAGGAGGACCTCTTATTTAGATGATCCCCCCAGAAAAAGAACAACCTCCACTGTACCTTTAACTAATAAGTTAAACTATAAAATGAAAAACAGTTTCAACTGTTTAACAGATACAGTAGCTGTTGTAAGAAAATAAGCCCAACACCTTTTCCATATCAAATGTGGATATTTTGCTTTAAACATTCAGCTGAAAACTAAAGCTCTATTAAAAAAACAAAGGTGTAATAGGTGACAAACCTGGATTAAACTAAAACTTTCTTCAATCATATATGTATTAAACTTTTACATTCTATATTCTTCTCTTTTGTCCCAATCTTCAATTGATCATAGCTCCCTGTTATACAATGCAGCAGTTCTTTAAATATCTATATTGTGGATATATCTACTATCTCTCTCGCCTAGCCAAAACATATACAATCATATTCAATGAATAAGAATATCTGTTCTATGTGAATTAATCAGATTAAAATTACCTTTTGAAAACACCCTTTAAGTGGGCATTTAAAATATTTAATTAAGCCCAAATTTATCTTGGTGTTATTAAGGTTTATCTAAAATATTTGACTTTTTAAAGGGTTTAAGCTCATGTTTGAGGGCAAGTGTTTATGATAGGCTTTAGTTACCTTATGATGAATGTTCAATATGGCATTAAATATAATAGCAATAGCAAAAAATGCATAAACTAGTCATTTAATATGGTTAATGCAGGGAATGTTTTTACATATTCCAACACTTTAATGGAAAATAGAGTATTTTTGATGGTTGTACCTGTCTTATAGCGGTCGATGTGTTCTTTTTGTGACGCTTTTGGCTTTTTAGTCTCGTTGTTGCTGTTATTTTCACCATGATCGTGTTTTAGTTCACTATAATTAAATGCTGGAGATAATCCAGATTTTTCCATGTTGGATTCACCAGTTTCGGGTACAACACTGTCATTAACAGGAGTTTGAGGCAGAAGAGGTTTGAGCTGTTTTTCCAAACCTTCATGCTGAGTTCTGTCATCTTTCCCCTCTTTGTCATTGAATTCCTCATTGGTGGTGGATTCCTCCTCTTCCTCCTGATCTAGTGCTGTGCCTTCAGTTTTTATCTTCTCTGGTTTTTCCTTCTTCTCTGTTACCCCACCCTCTTGCAAGTCTTTAGTTTCAAGCTCCCCCTCTTCTTCCTCTCCTTTCTCATCTAATCTTGCTTCGATTTTGGGTTTCTCTTCTTGATCATCTATCCCGCCCTCTCTTGTTAATCTGTCTTCTTCTCCGTCTTTTGCCAAGATGTCCTCTGTTTTATTGTCTCCCTCATTTTGTTCCTGTCCCATTTCTAATTTATCTTCCTTCTCCTCTTGCCCTTCAAACACTCCATCTCCTTCTTCAACCAAGATATCCTTTGTTTTATCTTGTTCATGTCCTGTTTTTAATTTCTCATCTTTGTCTTCTTTGTCTTCCTCATGCACCAGTTGTGTGGAATCTTCCAGTGATGTAATATCATCTACAGTCTCTTCTTCCTTTACAGTTCTGTCTTCCTTAGTTCCAACGTTTATGACCCCTTCCTTCAGTGAAGGCTTATGTTGCTTTTCTTCCACGTGTTTCACTAATAATGTGATAGTATCAAATTAGGCAGCTCAATTTCAGCTTGCTGAATGTGACTGAATAAAAAAAAAAGAAGAATGAATACCCTCGTCTTCCTCTTCTATGGTCACTCCAGAGTCACCAGTAGCTCCAGTTGCTTCTTCAACCTCCGCCTGCTCTGCAGCAGAGACGGCTTCACCTTCGCCCGCATGCATCACTTCTGCAACTGTATCAGGATTGTGTCATCACCACTAAACTCTGATCCAATAATCTACATAAAAATGCAGCTTAACTTGGTCTTTAGATCAAATTTGATGTGTGAAAATTACAGAAAATGTAAAAATGAATGTCAAACTTCTTTGATTTCATGCATATGTCAAAACAAACACAACAACAAAAACAGTTAATACAATTGCATATTTAAAAAAAAAACAGTATAGGTTGAAAATATTTGCACACTGGCACTATTCAGATTAATCAATTACCTAATAAATATTTTTTTCCTAACCTTCAGTCAGGAAAATTTCTAACCAATTTATTTTCTGTAAAAGCAAGAAACTTTGGTCTGAACTTCAATCTGAAACAATCTCTGAAACATAATCATTGGAAGACCTTCAATAAGTAAATACAAAATGCAGTTTTCAGTTGTTTTTTCATTAAAAAAGGACAAAAGAATTTCAACATCAACCTGACTATGGGAAAAAAAACAGTTGTTACCTTTGTCAAATCATAAATAAATTGAATATAATAATAAAGTAATTAACTAATGAACAATATTCCCTTTTTTTAGGAAAGCTAAGTTCTGTTTCAAAAGCCATTCTTGATGTCAGAAAGCACAGAAACTTTCTCACAACATAAAGTAGGCCAAAAGACCCCATTATGCCCTGAACAGATTAGAAAGTCACTGACATGGATCAGTATGTTATAAGCAATCGTCACCTCACCTCTAATCAACTAGAATTAGTGATCAAATCTCTTCCAGGAAGTCACTAAACAGCTAATATGGAGCACTGCAGGATATATTTATATATGTTATGATCAAAAATCATGCTGCATTCAGAGGTGTAAAATTGTGGGAGAATGGTAGAATTTTAAGGTCACTGCAGACAAAGAGAACACATCCTTTCCAAATTTTCTTTCCTGGTTCAGGACCTAGATCACGCATAAATGGACGGAACAATGAATTCTGCTCTATACCACAAAAAGAAAATATACCCCACCATCAGTTTAGAATTTAAGCAAACTTTGGTTGTGTAGAAGACAATGATCTGGAAATTAAAGCAAATCCAACCCTGATTGGCCCAAAAATCTATGGCAAAATAAAGGCTTTGAATCTTAATTAGGTCATTCATGCTTGATAAGCTTTATAACTGACCAAATAAAAATAAAAACCTCAATATTAGTGAGCCAAACTTTCCACATGACATACAATCAGTGTGTTCTGAACAATTTGTTAGGTTTCAGTGCCTATTATTTTTTCCATAAGGCCAGGCCTTATGAAAGCCTTTCTTCCCTGTATACATGAAATCATGATTTTAAAACTGCATTTTGTACCGACCAAAGTGATGCTGGTGAAGATTCTCAGTGATTCTCACCTGGATACTAAACAAGGATATATTTGTATTATGCTGAAGTATTTAAATATGAAAAAAAGCAAATGAAGGAGAAAATAGTGTTTGCATACAGTTTACATTCAGTCACAAAGCAAAATGCTCAAAACAGAAAAGTGCAACATTATGGCATGTTTTTTTTATGGTCCCATATGCATACATACACCTTTTATTAACAGGATGAACACAATGCAGTTTTGTGAAAGAATACAACAACAAATGTTGATAACATAGAAAAGAGCCAGTAAAACTGTAACAACTGGTTGTTTAAAGTATTTATTATGAGACAAAATAACACACATTTAGTCATGCCACGGTAAGAAAAAACAAAGGCCAACAGTGTTAAAATTTTGGCAAATGTATCACATTAAGACGTTGGATAAGAAACATCACTTCATAAACCTAATTATTATGGGAAATGCAGTTTAATGCCAACATGCAAGGGATGTTTTTAGAGGAAAACATTCACCCAATCCATTCACTTCATTTATTTGCAACACACCTGCTTGTGTTAAATAAAGTAATTTCTTCACTGCATGATGGCTTTTTCTTACCTTTTTCAAGTGGAGGTAAAAATTCCCCTACAGTGCAGATATGTAGCTGTTTTAATGAATAAATGTCTGACTTTTTTCCAACAACACACAGTAAAATATTGCAGCTCTTACCTTTCTTTCTCACCAGGTGAATATCAGATGGAGAAACAACAGCTTCATCTAAAAAAAAAAAGAAAAAAACAAAAAAACAAAAGAAAAAAACAGGGGTTTATAACACTTTCTATTCTAAAAAATACCACACGGCTTTGTGCTCTGCCCTAAACTTTTCTCATATCTTTATCAACATTTATGAAATGAATTTGCTGACAACATATTTAGACATGCATTACAGCAATAATCAAAAAGTTAAACCTTTTTCAGTGACAACATTTACAGCCGGAGGAATGGCAGGCTCACCTAAAACAGAGCAAAGAAGCATTTATGAGATCTCAAAGTATATTTCATGATTAACGGATATTGCTTACACTCCCACCTTGATCCCCACCCAGCACGCTTGACATGTAACCCAAGAACAACTCCTTCTTGCTACTAAATTCCAACACTGCATCCTCGACAACCTTCATTGGGTCAACAGACACTTCTGGGGTGATGTCTGAAACCCACAGCATGTTTTTGTAATGAATGCGAGGAATGTTATTAAATATATGAAATGAATACTTTACATCAGGACAGTTTATGGCACACCTTGTTCACCCATCAGCATTGTGGAGAAAAAGCCCATAATTGTGGTTATCTGTTCTCTGAAGAATTCTGCAATTGTCTTCAGAGCTGATAAGGGGCTGAATCCCACGGCCTCCTGTATGTCTGAGCAGCAGAAAAAAATAGCAAAAGCTTTAAATAAATTGTAATAAACTGTGTAACTGAGATAAAAGTTAATCAATCTGACTGTTACTGTACCATTTAACGTATCCAATACTACGTCCAAGACAGCACAGAGCCAGTTCTGGATGTATCCTGTGATATCACTCACAAATTCATTCAAAATATGGAAAACATTTCTGCCAATGACAACAGGATCAACAAAGCTGGTGTCAATGGTTCCTGTGAAAAGCACAGAATTGGAAGGACAAGAGTCGTTTATTAGGATTAATAATTATGCATAATTAATTAACATTTCAACACTAAAGAGAATCACAATAAGCATTTCTTAGAACACAAAAATAAAAATAAACACCTACATTGAAAGTTAGCTGATAGTAAACGTAATCTCACCCAACATGTAAGTTCAGTTTAAATAAAACTTCTGGATTTTTAATTTTAAATCTAAACCACGTAGACTTTTAGCAATTTTTACAGACATTTTAAACTGTCTTTAAACATTGTGAAAATCAGTAAAGCAAATTAAAGGATATACAAAAGATTTCCTTGTTTAAGTTTATTTAGGATGAAAATCTAACCGTTAAAATGTAAAATTGTTCATGCATTTACTATTTAAAAGAAAAAAAAAAACATTTAAACTATAAAAATAGTAAAACATTTTTCCTCGAATACAAAATAGTTTTCTTTTCTGGTATGATTACAAAATAAAAAGAAGAAAGCAGGGAGGCCGTACCTTTAAAGATATCCAGTATGGTATCTATTATTGCACAAAGTATGTCCTGAATGTAGCCCACTAATCCACTCACAGCATCATTTGTGATGTGGAAGAAATTCCTGCCAAGGACCACCGGGTCGGCATAGCTGACATCTGTTGTTCCTAAGAGCAAAACAGGAAGAGCTTCAGGGAATTAAGGCTACATCAATTAAGTGTTACTGTATCGGGCGCTGCAACACCACTGTCAATAAAATACTTGTTGGTTAATAAATAAATAATGAGACATGTTAATAAAGAAATCTACTTGAATTTCTCTTATCTGAAAAATTATATTGTGGGCTAATATGTGAAGAAGAGTTTCTGCTGGATTTTTTTGTGTGAAAAATTGCACTCAAAAACACAAATTAGTTTTTTCAAAATCACTGAAATGTTAATTCAAACGTTTAAAATAGATATCTTATCTTGAACAAAACATGAGTTCTACATTTGTACTATAAGCTGTTTTTTTCATAGATCAAGCCTGTAATTGAGCTCATGTTGCCGTTAACTCTGACTAAACAGAGTCTTTTTCATAGAAAGCACCCCCCCCAGATGTGGTAGTTCACTTTTTTTGATCTGCTTTGAATTATTAAATTTTCAGTTTCAAAAATGTATTTCCTACTGAGACATTTTTTTGCTGTTGAAAGTGAGTTATTTAGTTCCACTGTTGCCACATGTTTTTTGTTCACTTTAACAACAGTGGCTTTAAAACTATACACCAGCTGATTTGACAACATCAAATTTTATCTTTGGAATCTTAATTATTCATTCATCTAAATGAGATGTACTACCTTTAGTTATATCCAGTACAGTGTCTATGATGGCACAGAGTGTGTCCTGGATGTAGCCTGTTATTCCACCAACAGCATCATTTATAACGTTAAAAAAATTCCTGCCCAGTAGCACAGGATCGAGGAAGCTAATGTCAGTGGTTCCTGAAAAACACAAATGTGATCTAATAAAAAAAAAAATCCTGATACAAAATTTAGTCCAAACTGTGTGAACAAAACAGTCATGTGAAGAATTAGGACACCCCACAAATTTTAGTATTATTTTTTTTTTTTTAAATAGTGAACCTACGTGATATCTATTTTCAGATTCATCTCTGGAAAAGAAAAATATTTATTTGCAGGATAAAGTTCTGCTCCATTATCAATATAATTTCAGGTGGTCTAAGATTTCCTGCAAACAGGTTGTGATACCTAACAGAAATATTGTTGACTTCTATGATGGTATAGTCTAATAATGTCAAACATTAATTTAATTTTTTATATTTTTTTTACAGCCATGGTTTTCTCACAAAGCAAGTGAATCCTCCTCGCACACCTCTCGGGGAAAGTAAAACATGTGCTATCTCTTTCAGAATACAGAGGCATGCACTTTCATATCAACAGTAGGGAGACCCTGCACTAGATCATTCTAGTTATTTTACAGACTTATTTCAGCTCATTTAATTTAAGCTTTTGTTCTTGTCTGTAGTTATTATTTTATCTCTGACCAAACCACTAATCTACTTTCCTAAGGCCTAAAGGAGCTTTCTTGGTGTCACTAAAGTGCTCCCTCTGACTTTCATATTGGAATAAATGTAAAAATGTTGCAATTTATGCCAGTGTTAATAAAGTGTTGTCATAGGGTGCCCTAATTGACCTGACATGACTTGAAGTTGTTCTCAGATGGCATTCACGTGTAGGTAGATACCTTTCACTACATCCAATATAGAGTCCACTAGGAGGCAGAGCACAGTCTGGATGAAGCCCACCACTTCAGACATGAAGTTATTAGTAACCCTGAACAACCCTCTGCCTATTATCACAGGGTCAATATAGCTCAGATCAATTTTTCCTGAGGAGAAGGCAACAGCATTTTGGAGGAACATTTTCATAATTAGTTCAAGCTGCCGGTTTGAACAGGAATCTCTAGAGAAATTAGAAGTAGGAATTCAAACTGAAGATGCACCTTCTTTTAGATCCAAAACTGTGTCCTTGACAGTATCCACCATGGCACACAGTACATCCCTGAAGCAGCCAATCACTCCATACACAAAGTCATTGGTTGAATGGAAAGCTCTTCTTCCAATGACTACAGGATCGATGTAGCTGAGGTAGAAGGTTCCTGTAGTTCAGATACAGTCACATTAAATGTCACCTTTTTTTCCCATCTGCTTTGTTGGATAAATGTACATTGTCATACCTTCTTCATCAGAAAAATACTGAACAAATGCATGTTTAGCTTCTGTAACTTCTTCAACGACATAAGATGCAGCAGATGAGGGGTTACTTAAATCAGGAGCACATTCTGAAAAGAGAACCAAGCCAGTTCAGTTCCAATGCTGCTTTGCATATTTATGATGATGCATGTCTCCCACTTGTACCTTGGAACTTATTGAACAGACTGGACACCTCATCTACAGCATCGTTTACAGCTTGAACTGGGTCCGTAATGATTTGGTGAACATCTGGGAACATTAAGGATAAAAAAAAAGCAATGTTCAGAAATCTGTGTAATATGTGTCAACACAATTCTAAGCGTTTGGGACTCACCTGGAACTGCTTTGTACTCTACAAAGTCAAACATCACCACACCCACAACTATCCAGGACAAGAGAGCAGCTAGTGCAATCAGCAGTTCAACAGATACTTTCACCTTTCTGAAGAGCTCGACACCTTTGGATCTGAGAGAGCTTGTTTGTGCGACTTTGCTGGAGCCCCCGGCTGTACCCACCGAGGGGGGGCTGGATCCTGTGAGTACGATATACAAGATGAATGGATGGTCAAGCTGCATCAGTAGCAAGCTGTTTATTTGTAGAAGGAATCAAAAGTGATGAGACTTAATTATAGAGTTTGGTCACCAGGGGGCATTAATACCTTCTGGATTTCATATGTAAAATGTTTTATTCTTTTTTTTCCTCCAGAGTTTTTCATTGTCATTACACTGTCACAAGTACAGAGCAATGAAATTAACTCTCTGCATTTAAGCCTTGGGGAGCAGTGGGCTGCCATTATGCGGCGCCCGGGGGGCAGTGTGGGGTTAAAGGGTCTTGCTCATAGACCCAGAGCGGCAGTCCATGGGAGTGGTGCTTATACTCAGAGCCTCAGGATTCCAGCCCTAACCATTGGGCCACCACTCCCCAAAGCATGCATTAGTGTGAATGGTCTTGCCTTAGGACCCACACTGACAGCTCCTTCCCCTCAGCTGGGATGCAAACCCAGACCTCCTGTTTGCAGGAGCGGTGAATTACCACATGAGCTAGCTTTTAGAAGCCTCTGATAAAAAGGAAATGTGATTAATCAGAGGCTTTTAGTAAACTCTGTTAAAAAAAAAACAATAAAAAACTCTACCCATTAAATAATAAGTCTTTTAAAATAAAATTTGTCTCTAAAAAAAACATCAATCAAAACAGAAACTGTTTAATCTTGGCTATATGGTAAGAAATGCGTTAAATGCTTCTGTTGTATAAAGATGGCTTTATTCATGATCCGACACTGCCTTGCAACAATCTTCATATATCTTAACATTGTATATTTTCTTGGAATTAGTTTTATGATAGCGCAATGAAGATTTGTAGAACTGCACATAAATAAGTAGAAGACAAAATGATACATGGTTTTCAAACATTTGCAGCATTTCTCTTGTGCAGCATTTTCTATCTCATATGTTGTAGTCTAATGTTTGCTTTTGCTGTAGTTTTTGCATTTGATGAGTACGTAAACTTTTATTTAGCTCCATGATGCTTTAACCAGAACTGCCACTCATGCCAGTGAAATCATGCCCACTGCATCATGCTGCTGCCATGTCTGATGATAGGCGGTCCGGTTGGATCTATACTGAAATCAGAACATGGATGGGCCCTGTTTACTTAATCAGACAGCTTTTAGCATCAGCTGGTTTCACTCAATCTTATGTAGGGGTATAAGCAGGTCACATTTTACATATTTTTATATAAAAAAAACTCAGCATCAATTTATATCTATGTGTGGTTTCCTTTTGACTTTACAAACAAGCACTTAATTGTGTTTATTCTATCATACAGTCCTAATAATGTCCAATTCAGTTTGTATTTTTTATTTTTTGCTGTAACTTGACCAAATGTTCAAGGGCTAAGAATACTTTCACAATGCTCAGTAAATGCAAATACACCCAGGACTCCAAGGAATAAACAGCAGCTATCGACCTGGGAACTATAGAAAAACTGGAAGTGATTCAATCTGGGATAGAAAAAAAAACAACTTTAATCAGAAAAGCCTAACTTTCTTTTCTCACCACAGTTGTTCAAACCTAAAGTCAGCAGCAGCAGCTGAAGTCATGTCTGTCATATGAGAGCAATGCCAATTCTATTGCAACATGATATCTAGTATTTATAGCAACCATTTCAGCACATACTCTAAAGAAGAAGCTGTTTATCAAAACATCCCTGTTTATGTATTAAAAGAGCAGATATCCTTCAGGATTTGATTTATTAGATAATTAATCCTGATTATTGCTATAGCTGTCCTACCTTCGGCCATGGTGATATGGTGACTATCTCAGAGAGATGAACCAAGCCTCTCCATTTAGAACGGACTGGGGATTGCTTCAAAATATATTCAATCCAACTTATAGCACATCAACTTATTTAAAGAAAAATAAATCCTAGTTCCACATAGTAAATTATTCCATTTTCAATTCTTCTTCTTTGATCCTCCAGTTATCCGATGTGACGTGGGAAAAAAAAAAAGGAATGGGAAATGAAATTAAAAAAAATAATTGTTACAGGGTAAAGTGAAAGCTTGGAGGGAAATTTGGAGCTGCCAGTGTGGCAGCTAAGAGGCAGGATTGGGGACAGTGGGGGACCAGCAGAGCAAGGAGGGAAGGGGCCAAGCAAAGCAAAGCAAAGTTCTGGATGGGGTTAGGGGAACAGACAGACGATCCCACCCAGTGTTATTGGTGCCTCACATGGGTATTGGTCAGCAAAGAGACCAGATGGATTTAGGATAACTTTAACCCCCCTCTCGCAACCCCAACTCAGAAAGTCCAGGTTATTCTTAGCCAAAGGTCTACTCACCACCTGCTCTATCAGAGCCTTTTTTGGCATTTGTGGGGGGGTGCAAGGTCAGATCAGCTGGTTGAATGAGGAACTCTTATTGGCTGCAACTAAGATCAGCTTCATAAACAACAAACTATCTTCCCCAAATATGGAATAAACAAAAAATATGGGAGATTTGTCTTTATATAATGATTCCATTCTGCATAAGTAAGGTTCCCTGTGTATATGAGGACACTTTCTATTCTCTTATATGTTGAAATACGTTTTAATGACAATGTGACTCAATCACCCTTGATTTTTTAGCATGATGCTACCCTGGTTATATTCAGTATCTCTGTGGGGGTGTTGCTGTGTTCCCTAGGTACAGGTCAACACCAAAAGCAGGAAGGCCAGCTCTATGACTGGATGCCCTCTGGACTCAGTGCAGTAGGTGGAAAACAAAAGGATCCTAACTAAATTAACATCTCTGTTGGATAATGTCTCCCACCCCATGCATGAAGCTGTTGCTGAACTGGAGAGCTCCTTCAGTAACAGACTGCTGCACCCTAAATGCACCAGGGAGCGTTATCACAGATGCTTTCTCCCAGCAGCTGTAAGACTATAACTATCACTTTTCCCAACAACCTCAATAAGTTGTTACATTCAGGCTGATTTTGCACAGTTTCTACCTTAGTCAGTTAAATAACATGCGGCTGTCATTTTGCACATCTCTCATATTGCTGCTATTTTCTAATATCAATTAATATAACAATGTCCACAGCTGTATATTGGTTATTTATTCTCCGGGTGCACAGTATTTATATTGTGAAAACACTTTACAGTATTTTATTTGCTTATCTTTTAACCCTTCACTATTATGTTATTCTTATACATTTTTCTAAGGTGCACATTAGTGTGACAATTTTTTATATAATCTTTTTACTGCTGTAAACACCGGAATTTCCCCATCATGGGACAATAAAGGGATTTTCTATTCTATTCCATTCCAAAAACACAGATGTATGTCTAGCTGGGTAATCTAGAATAACCCAAGGATTTATTTTGAGTGGGATTGCTTATGTTTGTGATTTAACAGTAACCTGTCTTCATAGTGCCTTCATTTTCCATAAAAAACTAAGATAAACTAAGATCTCTGATTGTTTGTCTTTAAAACATTCTGTGAAAAAAAAAAGTTGAGCTATTAATTTATCCCTAGCTTTGATTCCATACTAATTTCATAAAACTAGAAAGAATAATAAATGTTTGGGATGCTGCTGTGGTGTTAGACATAGAGCACATGACCCATACACTTGCCTCTCTATTGAATCCCACCTTTCTGTCTGCATACTGTCAAAATAAAGGCCTCTTGAGCCAGAAAAATCTGTATTTTATTTTATTTTTTTAAACATATGTTTCTATTCCTTTTCTTTATATAAGTACTATTATTTTTATTCCTAACTTTAGCTATATTTACATATGTACTAAAGATTATTTTTGTTAAACAAAGAAAAAAAGTAAGTCAACAAAATATCATACTCTATTTAAGCAAATTAGATTTGCTTTAAAAATTTAGCTGCAAGAGTGATTTCAATCAATTTAATTCCCCATCCTAAATAAAAAATTCAAGATGTTAAAACCTAGTTTTAATGGTTAAAAAGAAATTAACAAATGTATCCATCCCATACAAAAATATATGACTTATAATAAATCACAGAATTTCTAGAGGAAAGTGATGTAGGATTTTTTTCAAGAGAGGAAGACAAAGTAGAAATAAATCACAATGTTAATCTATTTACAACAATGCACATAAATAGATTAAATGACATGTAATAGTTTAAAGAGTCACAGATCCCTCTGTTTAGATTAAAGGCGCAACTTCTAGCCGGCAAAATCAACATAAATAGAATCTATAGAAAAGAAAACTCCATAAAATATCAAGGAACTGAAAAGGTCAAAGTCTTTGCTGAAAGATTGGAACCTCCAGACATACACAGAGCATGCTGTGTGATTAAAGCAGAGGAGAAAAGGAGAGGATGAGCTCACTGGTTTAGGAGGAATCTCTCCTCCGTCAGCAGCAACAGTATCAGATACTCTGTTTCCTGTGAGAACTTTTGCGCAGCTAAACTGGAACATGCTTACACTTGAGATTGTTTGAAACAATCTAAACACTAATTTATAAGAAATTTCAGAAAATAATGTCTTTTAAGAAAAAAAAAATCATAAATCTAAGCCAATTTGCTTGATATTTAGTTTTTAATCTGGTCAAAAGAGAATTCTATTACTTTGATCAATTGGATTTTCACATCCATTGTTAATAATATTATTCTAAAAATTCCAAAAAACTTAAAAACAATCCACTGGACTTGGTTTCCAAGTGTGAAGACGTTTCACTTCATATCCAGGAAGCTTTTTCCCATTCAAAATGTTGAGTTTGAAGCTTTATATAGTAGCCCAACAACTTTTTGGCTTAGAAAACGTCCAAATTTAACCAGAAATACATGTTTTCTAAGCCAAAACAATTGTTGGGCTACTATATAAGGTTTGAATGCAACACTATTTCTGAAATTTTGAATTGAAGGCAAAAAGTCAAACTAAAAGTCTTCAGCCTCATGCCTCATTCATTCACCTGCTGATACAAAACTAACAGCCTAGGTGCCATACCTCCACTGGGGCTAATCATGAACCACGGCTCTGCTTTAAAGCCTCTTCAACCTTGTTTCTTTCTATTTATAATGGAGCTACCCTACGCCATCTCCACCATCATCCTCATTTTATTCTGGGTCCCTTTCGCCTCCATTCATCCGATACAATTCCAGTTCAAATTTCTCTCTAAAAAGGGGGGGTTTGCATTGTGTGACTGCTAGTCGTCAGAACAACTTTAGAAACAGAAATCTGATCATTAAAAGATTGTTTATTTCAAAACCAGCTGTGCACAAATAACAGACAGACAATAAATAATAGCGATAGCAAAACCAAAAAAACATTTGTATGCCTAATAAATTAGGAAAAAAACAAAAAGTGAAAAATTATTGTTCACTTTTACCACCCATGGAAAGCAACATAAATACACACAGGGATGGCGCTTTGTCCTGGAGGCAGGTTTGACACTTCCGTTATAAAAAAAATTTACATGTAACATATAACACTGGTAGAACATAAAAACATGTTATTTCAAAATACACGTAATGCAGAGACAAATACTAGTACACATCCTTCATTCTCAGCATGTCAAAGCTAAAAAAAAAAAAAAAAAAAAGGAGAGATCTTATGCAGCCTGCCGCCATACGTCAGCGCAACATACATCATCGGTATAATAAACAATCCCCTAAATAATGTTGCAGCTTTTCAACTACAAAAAGCTAAACTAAAGAATACAATAAGCTGAGCTAAGACTTTTTGCCTTAAGCCGAAATGCTATGGATGCACTAGGTATCAGTGCTAGAGCCCAACAGGTGGGGCTTTATAGGACAAGTCCATGATGCAGGTTAGTGTTTATAAAGCGTGAAGGCATTCCTTTGCGTTATAAGATTACTAAAGATGAAAAGGCAAAAACTGGTTTAATAGTACATCTGAGTTTCCTTGAGAAGAGACTTCTTGTTAAATTAGCATCATAAAAAAATTGTTGCAAGAAAATGTTTGATACTGCTTAGTACTACGCACTAAGCAGTTATTGTTCTACTGAAGGTTGATGTAACCGAGTGCCATACACTGCTCCAAGAAACGCAATCTGAAAGCGTTTTTTGACCTTGGATTTTAAAAAAAAAGAAAAGAAAAAAATCCACAGGCTCCCAAATTATCAAAAGTAATATAAAATTAAACAACAGAAAAAGTTAGGTAAACGAGCATTTTCTATTTACAATACATACAAAGTACACAAGTCATGTTGCTCATTTATGAAAGTTATTTACTTCTGGCCCCCATCAGCTTCCTTGGAGCTGATGGTCTGTTCATCTGCCGTTTCCATTAAAAAGTGGAAGAAGTCATTTAAAAAGAAAAAGCTTTTCTATGATGACCGAAAAATTAGGTACATGGCTCCCTCTGGTGGAAAGTTTGAGAAATGACATGAAATGAGGGCGGAGGCGCTTCAGAGATTATCCCCCGGCTGGTACTGAGGCTCAGTGGCTGTGAAGTAGTCCTCCAAAAAGGCTTGCAGATACTCAAAGGTGGGCCTCTCCTCTGGGTCCTTCTTCCAGCACTGCACCATGAGCTCGTGCAGGGAGATGGGGCAGTCCTGTGGGCACGGCATGCGGTAACCTCGCTCCACCTGCTCCAGCACCTCGCGGTTGTTCATGCCTGGGGAAAAGAAAACGGTGCAATCCACTCTCACTGACCTCATCCAAAGCTTAAATAGCAACAAGCAGATCCATAAATCTATGAGTTTGTGATATACTGCTTGATTTAAGTTTAATATTTATGTGTTTCAATAAAGTGAAATAATATATGACGTTAAATATGATTTTTTCATTTAATGTTTTTATCTTTATTTTGGAAGACTAAAGCAGATTAGAATATGTGTAACTTAGTGGGGTTCTATGTTACAGAACAGCATGAAATGGTGCAAAGTAGTGATGCGGTAGGAGAAGGATTCATGGTTTAAATATAAAAAACAGAAATCTGAAAAACCTTGCTTGATGCTTGGTCTGAAACACGCTATCCTCCTGTATTTAGCTTAATCCATCCTGTGATTAACCCAAATCAGGATTCTTGTCCAGGCATCCCCACAGCATGATGCTACTACCACCATGTTCCCCACTAGCTGTGGTGTTTAGCTAAGACCCTAACCTAAACTGAACCTACAGGCAGCTTTAATTGTACGTAAAAGACACACAAAGCTCCACCATATTTTTTCTGATTCACTCTTACCTGGATAGGGCACCCTACCCTTGGTCACCAGCTCAGTGAGAAGGATGCCAAACGACCAAACGTCTGACTTGATGGTGAATTTCCCGTACAGGGCAGCCTCTGGAGCCGTCCACTTAATCGGAAACTTGGCCCCTGAAACGGCAAAGATGTAAGATTTATGCGGAATACTCGTCTCTCCAGCTGCTGCAACATGTTCATTACATCACTTTTGTAGATCCTAAACAAATATTTCAGGATTAAGTAGGTCAGGCTTCATCTGTGGTTTCAAATCATATCAATCCACTGAGAAAATCATGGAACAATTCTGTTATCCTCCTCCGTCTCGGTTAAACAATCAAACGTTTTGAAGCCGTTGTCCAGTGAGCAGCTGGCCATGTTGACACAGTGGCTAATGGAGCTTGGCAGTTCACTCTGAGTAGTTTATGTCCAACTTTTGGATGAAAAACAGCTGAACTAGAAACTCCAGCATTTGGACGTAGTCTTCTGGCTTCAGTTATGCCCCCTTCCTTTGTATATATTCAGTTGCTTTTCAACCATGTTCCAACCACATCCTTCTGTTTTTTCAAAGACTCCATTACAACCAATTCTAGATGTTTACAGATCTCATTTTCCATCTACTAAACCACCAACCTTTTCCTTTAACTACAAGGATTTTTAAACATCGTGTGGCGAAAGACAACTGCTGAAGGAAAACTACAAGAAGACATGAAATGTGTGCAAAGATCAGACTTTAAACTTGCAACCTCATCAAGTTATGTCCTTTTCTACACTGTAAATGTCTGGTATCTATTTTCAAAGGGATTCAATTGAGCTTTTGTTATCAGCCTCTATTTTACCTGCAAATGACAGAAGTCTGTATTAACTCCAAGTTGCTCCTAAACAAATAAACTAAATTAATAAATAAACTTGTAAACAAGATTTTTAATGTGAGTAAAATGCCTTACACAATATGTTTTGCAGAAAAGATTGGTGTTTGTGATGAAGATTTGTGCTTTTGACACATATAAAGTAAATACAGTTAAAAATACAGACTTTGAAACTGTTGTTATGGTTTGGATTCACCAGAAATAAAAATTGCCAATAAGAGAGAGATTTACCAATCCTGTGCACAGCGCCACAAACCCTTATTTCCAAAGACAATGTTTTTCTTTTACAAAGTTTGCATTTAAAAAGTACTTTTACATGCACAAGGTTGACCTACCTTGTCTTGCTGTGTATTCATTGTCCTCAATGAGCCTGGCAAGTCCAAAATCTGCAATCTTGCACACGAGGCCATCTCCTACGAGGATGTTGGCAGAACGCAGGTCTCTATGGATGTAGTTCATCCTCTCAATGTACGCCATTCCTGCTGCCACCTGGAAAAGGGAGGTTTTATTTTATTTGTGTCATTAAAAGTTTGTTAAGCAATGACTTTCTTTCTAAGTTTCGCACATTAATTAGATAGAAACGCATAATACCCACAAGAGTAGAGGTGCTGACTTATAGAAACTGCTAAGCTGGGAAGTATAGGGCTAAATAACTGTTTTCTATCTGATAGTGATTAAAGCAACCTGAGAAAAAAATAAATATTTTTATTTTAATAGGGGAAAATGCAGTCAGAATTTAATTCAACTTATTTATATATATATAGCGTCAATTCACAACACTTTCCATCTTAAGGCAACAATCAGATCATACAGTCAAATTGATTCAAAGTTTTCTATCTAAGGAAAACCAATTGATTGCATCGACTCATTGACTCGAACACAATCCCTCACACTAAGCATGCTTGTAGCGACAGTGGAGAGAAAAAAAAATCCCTTTTAACAGGAAGAAACCTCCAGCAGAACCAGCCAATTCTGATGTCAAATACCAGAAAGACGTCATGAATACAAGTTTTTAGCTAAAGCTAATAAAAAAAAAAAAAAACACTGTCCCTAGCTAGCCTTTTAGAGATAAAAAGTTCAAACATAAAACTTGATATGAAATAAAATATATATGAAGTGTAAATTAATAAAATACAAATAATAATAACGGAGCAAAACTATGCTAACACCTTAGCTGTGGTTTTAGCTTAAGATTTTATGTTTGACAACCTTATGTTAAAATAAAACGACTATAAGATAAGGGTTTGATGGAATTTTTTCACCATAGGAAATAAAAAAGGCCTGGAGAAATCATTAGGGAACATTAGCAGCTCACCTGGGCTGCCATGTCAACTAGATTGGGCAGTTTGAGGCCTCGTCCTTCTCCATCTTTCAGGAAATCAAGCAAACTTCCTAATGGACAAAAAAAAAAATTAGTTCATCATTTAAAATTTGATCTGTTACAGAGGTATCTCAGTTATTCCCTGGGTGTCTCATTTGTTTATTAGAAGAATAACATGAAACAATAGAGTCGGTTTTACCTTTGCTCATGTACTCTGTAACAATGTAGATGGGTTCTTCAGACACTACGGCGTAGAGCTGCACCAGTTTATCATGGCGGAGCTTCTTCATGATCTGAGCTTCTTCCAGGAAGGATTCAGGCGACATGGTGCCAGGTTTCAGAGTCTTCACAGCCACCTTTGTGGTGCCGTTCCATGTGCCTTATGAAAAAAATTGATGAATAAAAGCATTAAAGCTGCAGTAGGACACAATTCTCTAAAGATGTCTGGACAATTTCATTTTAAACCAGAAGATCGAAGGAAAATAACTTCTAAAAGGTGATTGCTGCAGAATCAGCAAAACACAAGGATGAAAGTAATGCAAAGAGGCTTGCATTATTCTACCCCCTTTAACATTTTTACATTTTGTCTTCATAAAACAACAAAATTCAATTATTCATGAGCTGCTAAGCCTATGTTATTTTAAAAAAAGGGAAGATTTCAATGATTGTATACACCAACTAAAAATAACTGGGTCATAATAAGGTAAAAAATACAAATGTTTACACATTTCCTTTGTATTTGGAGCAAAAAAATAACAACACTCAGACATTAAAAAAAAGTAATAACTCTTGAAACTGTGTCTTTAGAATAACTATGCAAAAAAAAAAAAAAGTTATTTTTTTTAGCTAATGAAAAAAGGAAATCCTTTTTTTATTGCTATTGTGAAATGCTAGAGTAGATTTTCAATCATCCAGGTCAGGGTAGTGAAATGGAGTATCCCAGTGGTCTGATTGTCAACTATACTTAGATCTTAAATATCCGACTAACACACCACCAAAACATTAGAAGTCAAAGGTTGAAATATCTACAACAATAACAAGAAGTCCATCTGATTTCGATTCAGTTTTGATAGATATTTGTAAAATGCGTCAGCTCAATGTGGAAACTGATTCCGATGCAGACTTTGCATGAAAACAAGTTGAAAAATGTCTAAACGTACATTCTTTGAATCAGGTTCCTGCTGGAAGTTGAACTAGTGCAGCAGTGGAGCGTCTTTTCAGATATACGCTCACATGTTCCATTGACTCCCTGACTGCTGGAGTTCATGCATGAAGCCTCCTGCAGAAGGATTCACAGGATGCTTTCTTTTTATTTAATAGAATATTTAAAGAAGATGTTTTATGGTAGAAGAGCAGCTTATTTTGTGTCTGATCAGCTGATTTGAGGTCATTATTCAATAAAACACCTTCTGCCTTTTTGTATTTCAGAAACTCTACGTTTTTGTCTCTTACTTCAGCAATGGTTTATGATTACCGTTAGTGAAAAAAGAAACCTAATAGGACCCCATTATACGTGTAGCAATCCTAGTTAAGGCAGGAGGATCTTAACTAGATAAAAATAACCTTAGATTTAAAAGTGATATCATATTTAGGACCACGTTAGTTATCAAGTGAACAAAGTTAAATAAAGCAATCGTGTTCAGTAAAATAATCCTCCTGTATGGACAGATCTTTTCTTCCTGTTCCCATTCCCTCAGATAAAGAGTTTTCACAGACTTGCTGAGGACATTGCAGTCGTTGATATATTATCTATGTTTTTCCCCCACTGTAGTAAAACTCTTTGGAGTGTCATTCTCTCTACAACCTTAATATATTAGATTTAATTTCACCCAATTCAGCCGACATATAGCTGATCACACTTAAGGCCAATCAGTAAACAGCACATGTAGAGCGCTTATCCACAGCAGTTACTCAAAAAGCAGGCGACAGGCTGAAGGAAGCAGTTAAACGGGCTGGGGGGGAAGGATCTGATCAAATTGGAGGAAAAGTTGAAGGAAAAGGCAAATCAAAACTTTCATCAGACCAGCTTCTCTAATGCTGCTAAATAAAACCATGCCATAGCACGATACTGACACCACCATGTTCCACAGACTTGTTTTTGTTTTGTGTTTTTTGCCTCTCTTCCGAAGAAGTCCATTCAACAGATTATTTTTAGAAAAATAACATGTTAAGTTTGCATTTATACCACACCCTTTTTATTTTCTGAACACAGAACAAATCTCCATGATAAGTTCCAAGCTTAGGATTTTATTTTATGATTTAACGTTAAAGTTTAGAAAGAAAAATGAATGACTTCTCAATGCTAACTCTAGAACAAACTTCTAAAAGAAAACTGAAAATGCTGTGTTTCATGAAGATTAGGGCAAAATCCTCTCAGGGATCTTGGTCCAGGCAAGATGGGTGCAGCTTTAACCAGCAAATTAAAAACAGCTCTCATATGAGGTCCAATCACATACAGCTGTTGTGCAACTTTGCCCACAGCTGTCTGAATAATTACATGTGCCAGAAGATACACACCCATCCAGACCTCTCCAAACTGGCCGTTGCCGAGGCGTTTAATGAGCTGCAGAGATTCCCGCGGGATCTCCCACACGTCTTTGGTTTTGACGGACAGGTCGGTCAGACGAGGCATGCCTTTGTGGCAGGGCACGATCAGTCGACAGCACAGCCCCGCAGCCCTGGCTGGAAGCATCCATGAAATGTGTTTAAAAAAAAACAAAAAAAAACAACAACTTTCATATTGGTTACCGCACCCTTAAATAAAGCCGGCTCACCAGAGTAGTGCTGAACTAGCTGTTGGAGGGTCTCAAACTGAGCCCGGGTGGTGATGTAGTAGCCACCATTGTCCAATTTTCGAATCTTATAATGCTTGACGTGATCTCCCTTGATGTCATCCCAGTCCTGGATGGAGAGCGAGTACGCCCCTGGAACAGAGACAAGGCACACCTCAACAAATAGTAAGAAAACAGGGAGCAGAAAACTGATTTTATACGTCTGACTATTCATTTAAATTGCTTTAGGCAAACATTCTCTACTTTCCTAACTACATTTCCTTCAGGTTTTATGTCCATCTTAAAATACAAAAACTATCCTCTGAATTTAAGGGGGATATATTTTTGAACTGGGCAAGAATATGATTAGGAGGCTGCAAACATTAAAAGTAAAGGAAGGAAGGACACAAGGAAAGAAGAGAGGTAGGGCACAAGGAAGGAAAGCTGCTCAAATGTAAGGAGGAAGAAAGGTGAGACAAGAGAACCAAAAAGGAGGGGAAACTTTTAAACAGATGGACAAAAAAAGATAAAGGCAATGAGGACATAAAGGAATGTTCGGCACAAAGATGGAAGAGCTGGCATAAAAAAAAAAAGAATTAAGGATCCTAAGAAGCAGGTAAGGGAAGAATGTGAAAAGGAATGGAGGACAGAATGACAAAAGCAGAAAAAGGAAGGAAGGAAGGAAGCAAGGTAGGAGGATGCGGGGAGGGAAGGACTAAGGAAGGAAGGAAGGAAGGAAGTAGGGACTATGGAGGGAGGGAGGGACTAAGGAAGGAAGGAAGGAAGGAAGTAGGGACTAAGGAGGGAGGGACGGACGGAGAGACTAAGGAAGGAAGGAAGGAAGGAAGGAAGGGATAAATGCAGATGAAAGAAGAGAAGCGGTGAACCAAAGTCATTAAGAGAGGAAGGCTACTTTAAAGAAAGGAAAGAAAAACATGCATCAAACAGGAGGGAGTAGAGAGGACACAGCCTAGGGATGCTGTTTAAGAGGAATTAAGAAAGGAAGGAGGGTCAAAACATTTAGACAATGAAATAAGGGAAAACATTTGGAAAGCCAGAATATTTACTATATTGCTATTTTACTTTCCCTATACATATTTGGACCTGAAACCTATTGAAGTAAAACTGCAGACTTTTCCAAACTCCACAGATCCCCAGCATGTGGCCTTTGTTTTCACATGTTCCTGTTTTTTGGCACGCACCATTCCCAAAGAGTAAAACCATTCAATATGTCAGCATGTCACTGCTTGGTGATACCTTTGGTTGTTTCGCTCTCACGGATGAGGAAAGTGCCTCTGGCATTGCCACCGGACAGCAGCTGCCTCTCAGCATCCTTTCGGCCTAATTTACCAAAATACCAGCTGGAGGGGAAACAAAAAACAACAGGTCTAATATTTGTTCTGAAGTGGGTGTAACAGCGTGTCACTTTAAACAAAAGACAGAGATAGAAGTTGGAAGAAGGGTGTTTAGGACAGGCTGAATACAGCTTTGAATGACAGGATCTGATTTGATGGGAAAAGGTGAACTCACTCCTCTGCCTGGATCGAGTCCACAGGAGCCACATAATTACTGGGAATGTATCCAGTTCCACCTGTAGTAAGGGAACGAGCCTCCCACCAGTCTCCCTCCCTGAAAAGAACCATTGAATAGGGGAAATGAAGCAGGCATGTTCGAATAAACAAAGACTGAACAGCTGAAATCTAAGGAGAGAAACAGCGACTGATATTTAAATAAATCCAATCTGAAAAATTAGCAGGCACTTGTATTCCGTCCCACTGGTTGCATCCAGCTGCATTCTTCTGGGACATTTCTCTAGCAGCTCTGCACATCAAGAGACTGAAATCTTTGACCTATTTTCTTTACAAAATAGCTCCAGTTGAGTCAGATGGGACTGTGAGCTTCCATCTTGGCAGAAAATAGCCCATTTATTGGGTTTAGTTTTAGACTTTGCTAGTTCATTTTAATAAATAAGTATCCCATGAACCAGCCTGAAGAATTCTCCAACTCTTGCAGGTTTTTAAACCTTTGTTTTTACACATCATCTCTGACATGTACTCCCGTTCCTACAGAAGAAAGCAAACTGCTGCCACCACCGTGCTTCACTGTATAGGCCAGAGGTTGGAAATCTTTGTTGGAAATATTAGAGACTAGGAAAAAGGACTTGTCAAGCTTTACAAATACTTGACTTTGAAAAGCGTTATTATATTGCAAAATCATGTGATGACTTTAGTTTCTTTAAGATTCAGTGAAGAAAAAAATTAAAGGTCTTTAATCAGCTAAAGAAAATTAGTAGAAAAAATCCTTAGACCTTACAAACTCATAGAAAATGGATAAAAAAAACTTTTTATTTGCACATAAAATGACATAAATTATAGGGATGTATCACACTGAACAAGAAAAAAAAATCAATTTAAATAAATAGTGCTTTTATTTGTTTGGTCAAAGTTATCAGTTAAAGTTATTAAAACAAACTGAGATCAGTGAGTAAGAATTATTTGGTGATGTTAGTCTAAGATAACGACGAACCGGTTTAAATGTGCCTTTAAACAGCTAGTGTCAGTGTGTACTTTCAAATGTTTTTCTTCAAACTTATCAGTGTGTGGATTAATCTAACTGATGGTATTCATGAGGATAGTCTGCTCCGTCTGTCAGGAGAACACTTTTCCTTTCTTCAGCACTGACAAATGATCTAAGCCTGAAATACAGACACCAACTGCTCTTTGTGCCCAAGTGGCATTTTATCCCTGATGTAACATTTAGGTTCTGGGGAAAAATAAAAGCTCAGAAAATAAGTAAATCAGAGGAGGAGAAAATGACCACCGCCCTTCCCATGCTGTCATACAGATGTTTTCATACTTACGTGCTGTTGAGGATCTGGAACCTCTCCCCCTTTCTGAAGCTGAGGTCATCCTCAGTCCTGGCTTCATAGTCATACAGAGCCACAAACAGAGTAACTCCTGTGGGAAAACAAGAGTATCCCATTTAAGGTTCTTGGAGAATAAAAAAAAAAAAAGCCGAGAACTTTTTAGAATCATCATTATCATTAACTTTATTTGTAGAGTGCTTTAAAACAGCTAACAGCTGAAAACGAACTGCTGGACATAGTTGAAAACATAAAACACAATAAAAATGCAGCATTAAGATATGAATTCAGACAATAATAAAAATGTTTACAAAAACTAATATATCAGAAACTGTTCTAATATCTGTCAGGAAAATTTGTATCTGAATATATCTGCTTGCATCTAAAACCTCCCGTATTAACAAGCCGAAGGAAGGACTCTGCTTCTTATTTGTTCTGCCAACACTTTGGAAGGATTGGGAGACTTTTTAGGTACTGCTCAGAATATTCCTGGTTCACCTCTCTTGCTTGCTTCCATGTTAGCAGCCTGCCGCTATATTCCCGACATTAAAAATAAGGATTGCTAAACTATGGTTTGGCAACCCGGGGAACTCTCACATGATTCGTTGGGGAACCAGGAAGTAAACACAAGCTTTACACTGGATCGAAGAAGTTGTAAACATTACATCTAGGTTTGAAAAGAGGAAAACTTTACTAAGACATTGTTGATGGAGATAACAAATTATTTATAGGGAACTTTATTTCTACCCCAGGTGACCTATGAGAACAACTTCTATTGATTTTACAGTGAATGTCTTTATTATAGGAAGGAAGGAAGGAAGGAAGGAAGGAAGGAAGGAAGGAAGGAAGGAAGGAAGGAAACATTCTCTACTTTCCTAACTACATTTCCTTCAGTTTTTATGTCCATCTTAAAATACTAAACACTATCCTCTGAATTTAAGGGGGATATATTTTTGAACTAGGCAAGAATATAATTAGGAGGCTGCAAAAACTAAAAGTAAAGGAAGGAAGGACACAGGGAAAGGCGAGAGGTAGGGAACAAGGAAGGAAAGCTGCTCAAGGAAGGAAGGACAAAATGTGAAAAGAAGTATGAAAGGCAAGATGTACAAAAGAAATATAAAAAGAAAGACACATAAAACTATTAATAGGGATAGACACATATTGAGAAAGTGCACAAGAGACATTAATACGTAAAGAAACATAGAGGGATGGATAAAGGAAGTGGCTCAAAAATCATGCAGAGCCAAAACAAAACCCCCTTTGCAGGAAAACAAGCATATGCTGATTGGAGTCAGTAGAGGCCGACATGTTGGAGTCTGTTAAGCATATACAAAAATGGAACATTTCATGGATTTTTGCTGGGTGGGGGGTGGGGTCTCAAATTAAAATGTTCATGTTTTTTTTTTTTTACATCTGGCCTAAAAAAAAAATTTATACCAACTAAACTGCAAACAGGCAACATGTTCTTTGAATATTCTAGCGTGCATCGTCTCTCCAAAAGCATGAGGCTATTTTTCAGCTCCCTGCCCTGGTTTATGGAATGCTACTTCAATGTCTTGGTGTTGAATCATAGTAAACAGACTCTATCACAGTAACCAACTTGTTCTGCCAGCACGCTGTTATGGCAGCATTGTAAGTAAAGGAATCTAATATTTTTTCTTTTTGTCATAAGATGAAATTTGCACAGGAAGTCCCAGGAACTAAATGCCAAAAAACTGCCTTATATTAGAAAGGAATCTAAATCCTATTAAAACTGGAAAGCCTGCCCTCTATCTCCTCTTGGTTTCTGTAGCAGCTGGATTCTTATTTGTTGTATCAACATGAAACTATTTGGTTTCCTGACAGAAAAGTTCTGTTAAAAACCCTAGAAATGTCTTATTCATGGAGGCTAACATGCTGACTCAACATATTTGTTAGGATAATTTGGGAAAAAGGGAGGTTCAGAAGGGTTAATATGAAACACTGTACATGTATGCATCCTATGTATCTTTAAGCTCTTAAGCAGAAGCATTTCCCCAAACCCAAGAGGGGTTTAGACTCTTCTGGTCCTTCTGCTCCTCAGATGTGCCTCACAGAGCACCAGCTATAAATTAGGTCACTCTGTTTTCCATTAACCAGTGGGCTGGGGTCGCATGTCTTTCACGGAGAGCTTCCTTTAAAGCAGCGTGGCAATACCACAGCATACAAATCTAATAATCCAAACTAGGATGAGCTTTAATAATAAAAAAAAATCTGATGTGTTTACAGCTACATCACTATTAATGTTTTTCAATTTAAATTGTACTGTTCTGACACTGCCTTATGTTGAAAGTTTGTAGCTCGGTTTCATGATATCATCACAAACAAACAAGTTTAATTATGGATCAATCTTCTTCAATCAATCTTCTTATTTTTTTTATAGAAATACACTTGCTGATCATTTAGTTTTTTACAGGTAGATGAAGGACCTGAGAATAGAGCCATGTTAAAAACATTCTTTATTAAAGAACGACATCAAACTAGTGCAGCTAGATTTAAAGGTTTCACTGAAAATCAATTGTTGACTCTCTCCACTGATTCTCAGCTGGATTTAGATCTGGGGCATTTTAAAAGTTAATAATGCTTTGACCTAAATCTTTCCATTGTAGCTCTGGCTGCGTGTTTGCTTGGAGGTTAACTTCCACCCGTGTTTGAAGCCTTTTGCTACTTTTGTTTTGAAGAAAATGATTCCCACATTGTGATGCTGCCACAAAAACTTTTCAAAGTGGGAACGGGACAAGATGTGCTAGTTGTTCCTCCACTGTGCTTTTCTGGTCTTATTCTGACCAGAATAAGGCTGAAATGATTAAGAATTAATAAATTAAAATAATCGTCAACTCATTCGGTAATCATTTTGATTCGATTATCTAAAATATTGATATAGAGACTCTAAAATGTTTTGCTTGCTGAAAGAATAAACTACATTAGGCAGTAATTTGGAAAAAAAACTCTTAATAAGAACATTTTCCAAGTAGGATTTAAAATCTGGATTATATATATGTCATTACATGTTTATGTATTTATATATTTTTTTACATGTTTTTGCCATTTACAATTTATTTCTAACAACCAATGCATCTTTATTTACTTAATTCAAAACTGTTTTTTTTTACTTGGGAATGTTTACTTCATAAAAGTGTTTCTTTTTAGATTCATTTAAACTGAATTTTCCTTTTGGGATTAATATATATTTTGCATTGAATGGAGTTTATCGAATAATTGGAAAATAATTAGAGATAACTAAAACATTTGATAACTGTAATTCTAGATCAGAGCACCTTTTTGTTTGCTGTGTCTGCAACAATGCTTGTGGCAAACATTAAATGGGACTTCTTAAAGCTCTTCAACAAAAACTCTCTTCATGCAACTCCAGTGTTAGGAGTGTACTACTTCTCGTCGTTGTTATACTGAATATTCCAGGTAACCAGATTACAGTCTGTGACTGCCAGAGGAGAAACTGCAAGTGTTAAAGAAGTGCAAATATTTTTCTATATCCAATTGCAACTAAAGGAAAAGTTCTAGCCCCAGTGTTGCTGAAGTCCCTGGGTTAGATTTGATGGGACATAAGCCTCACCTGTCCCTCCACGCGACCGAAGCGTTCCAGATTGCGAGGACGTGTGCACGCCTCCGAACACAGTCACCCCCTGAGTGGCGGCGGTGTGGAAGTTGTTGTAGTTGGGAATGGTGGTGACGCCAAAGCTGGGGTAGTGTTGCGGCGTGGGGTCGGAGCCATAGCGGTACCCAGAGCTGTGTGTGAGGCTGGTCTCGCGGTCATCTGTGAGTTTCGCTGCTTCTTTATCCTTACATTGGACACAGCCCATCCTCTATCGTCTGTGAGCGACAGAGAGAGAGAGAGAGAGATGGATGGATGGTTGGAGAGAGAGAGAGAGAAGCAGAATGAGGATGTAGGTGAAAATAACAGCTCCAATGCTCTTGGGGAAATTATGATTAAATTTTCCATTATTTCAGATTTTTCCTCTTGAGAAAAAGCTTCAGAAGGATCTTACAGTGAGGCTGAAATTAAACACGACACTAACTCTAATTTAACAGGAGAACAGGATGTGACCGTACTGTACGTCCATGCTTCAAAGTATCCACCTAAACTTGCAACACTTAACGTTTTATTAACGGTTTACTTCTCCAACGAGTCACATGATCTCACATATGCAAAGGATTTACGCCCACACCACCACGTTTACAAGACGACAAGCAGCTCATTTCTCTTTACTTTAAAAGGAGCTCCACACACGCATGCATCTATGGGTCCAAAACAGTGAGGAAAAAAAAACGTACACACACACAGCGGCCAACCGCTTCCTGGCACTGCTCTTTATCCCTAAGCAAGGAAGATTTGGCCTCACTAAACCAGCTTCTCTAATGAGTGAGGCGATCTCCTTAGATGAAGTCCTTCCATTTTTATAGACCCAGTTACCCTAATCAACATCTACGTTCAAGGTGTCCCTGGAAGAGGGGCTTAAAGCTGGTGAAACATGGCTGGCCGCAGGGTTGTCTTTCATCAGAACGAGCAGCCCACCGACTTCAGACGCAGCTAATTGGAAACATACATGTTTGCAGTGTCAGTGGATATGGAGAGGTGGTATTAGCGAGATAGAAACCTGCCACAGCTCTCTGCATCAAAGGAAACCATAGGCTGTTGGCTCATGGGGGCATGATTCATGAGTGCTGGGTGTAAAAGGAACAATGATGTAAAAACAAGATCAAACTCTATGCTTAAAAGGAGTGAAAGCCTTAGCCAACACAAACATTTCTAAAATCAAATTTACTCAGATATTAATGTAGTTTATATTTTTTTATCAATAAATAAGCAGCATAAAGAACGAAGTGCAATGGATAGGATCTCCCATATCAGATCCAGTGCATCTCTAGCAATAACACCAGTTATAATTTCTTCTCTTATATTTGTCATAAACATATTGCAACTACTTTGCAATGGCTGAAGCTTATTTGCTGTGAAAATCTTTATGATTTCTGTGCATCATTATATTTCATTGGCAATGCACCCGAAATACAATCGACTAAATAAAAGGAGTAAAAATCTTGCAAAATCCTTCACCCTCCCAGAAGTATATAAAAGTTCTACATTTTGCAGGTATTTGTTTTTGATAAACCAACACAAAATAATGCATAACTGTACAGTGGGGGAAAGGCTTCCTTTTCAAAACCCTTTCTCAAAGATATATTTCCTGCATTAGCAGGTTTTCACTGTGGCTCTACGACCTCTAAAACCTGGGTTTACCTACCTTATGGGTGGCATGCATTCAGCAGAAAAAGAAAAATCCTTATCATGCTTTTACCATGAAATAACCAAGAGAATGTATCAAAATCTCCCATTTAGATGTTAGTCAGTGGGGCGGGTCGATGGCTGAATAAAAATGCAGAGCACATTTCTTAGACTTTGATCTGTTTAATCAAAAAAGATCTTCTAGTAAACCAGAAACCACATTAGGTTGGTTCCTTAAAATAAAATCCCAATATAATATATCAAAGGTTGTGACTTTAATATGACAAATAGTGTAATAGTTCAGATGGTGAGAATACTTTTGAAATGTGCTGTATTTAAGGTGAAGATGGAGGTTGCAGCAGGATTGTTGGATCTGGGTTGAAATGTTTTTTTTCCCCCTCTTAACTTGTGAGATGATACACTGAAGTGAAGAGTAATATCTCTAGAACATTTACTTTACTCTGCTCTGTTGCTTTCTAAATCTGCCGCCTCTCTGTCTGTCAACAGGCAGCAGTAAAAGCAAACTATAACTCGGGGCAAATCAGGCGACTAGTATAAATCGTTGCTAACTCTACCTGCAGAAAAAGAACAGGAATAGTAGGACTGGAAGCATCATGAGATTCTTTTTTTTTCACTTCCTCTAAGCAGGTTAATGTTTGCTCCACTCTGCTTTTCAAACCAAGAGACTAAGAAGCAGCAACAGACAGAAAGAGATCAGCAGGATTCACGACTGCCCATAAAGCCTCATAAACTACCCAAAAGCACGCATTACAGCATGATCCTGAACCAGAGCTGAGACCATGGCAGGAATGCAAGAAGGAAAAGTGAAGATTTTGCTCTAATCCTCCAAATATCAGATAATCTTCTTTGACATTTATATTCACATCTTCAATATTCTGGCGTTTACAGAATCCCTCACACACATAACCACCTCCAAGACATGTATTAGACACTGCAAGCACATAATAAATACATATTTTAAATCCGGTATATATTCTGTGTGTAGCTTATAAAACAATGATGTTCAACAGCCCAACAAAAGCAGCACCGTTTGTTTCAGATGAATGTTTTGCAGCTGCTCTGCATAAGTATGAAATATTAAGCGTACTGACAGGAGGAAAATGGTTGGAGTTTGTTTTCTGGTGTGACTGCAGAGATTGAAATAGCACTGCATCCACTCCTGGAGGGAGTGGAGTAAATGAGGGAAGATCTCCAGTTACCATTGTGCCTGTGTGAGATCATGAAAGCCTCACGTCTTTCAAGTTGGGAAAAAAAAAAAAAGAGGTCCTGGACGTCTCCATTTACACACCCCTTTTCTCTATATGTATTCTGCCATGTTCGGGCAGGGAAAGAGGGGAAGGTTTCAAGGCAGAAGAAGATGAATCCAGCAGAATCAACACAGGCAGCTAAAAAGATCAAAATAAACTACTGGAACATCATAAAAATGTCAAACAAATTAATCAATAGATTCACATCTAAGAGACTAGAATATTGCTCTGGATATGGATAGGTCCCCACCATTTATCATATCAAAATGTTAGGGTAAGAAGCAAGAAAATTAACTCTTATAACTATTACCCATCAACTACACTGACCTAAAAAACAGAGCATTAAAGAGGAAAGTCATCTTCTGGGTCAACTATTAGTCTTGCAATCTGCACATCTGTATATTGCAGAAAACTGGCAAGAAGAATCCGAATATTCCTATATGCAATTTTCCTCAAGACATATTGAGGGACACAACAAACATGGGCAAATGTGGCCAGATGAGACTGAAAATGAACTTTCAGGTCTAAAACCTTCTGGCTGGTGAAAACCAACACTGCACATGATTGTATTACCAGCAAACCCATGGAGAAACATAGTAGTAGCATCATCATGCTGCGTTGAGGCGTTTGAACTGCAGTGATAGGCCAAAATTAATAAGCTAAATACTAGGAGATAACATAGTAAATTGCAAAGTATGACAGCCCTTCTGCCTACTTCTATAGTTGTCTCAATTCCCCACATATTCCTTTCCCTCTTTCCAACATAAGACTCCTTTAATAAGCGAATCAACATTCAACCAAATCAATTCAAAAAGGTTTTATTAACCCTAAAGTGAAATCAAATGTTGTAGTAACTCATAGTTTTTTTCAGAAAGTTGTTGAAGGTGTTAATAGCATCAGTAGAATCGTATCTATTTATTGACATAATGATAAAGATGTCAGATCTGTGTGATGCAGCCGCGCTCCGGTAAAAGTGAGTGGGAGAACATATTTTATTGTGACAGGAGTTATCATCATATTTAGACTGCTTAGTGTGATGTGTTTAAGTCTGGTCCAATAAAGTTGAACAGTGTGTGCCAAGCATTAGAGGCTACCAAATAACTGAGACCGGAGCAGATATTATCAGCCAAAAGAAATGGTTTAGATTAATTGCTTGTGTTTGAATTAGCTACTATTCATAAAAAAAAAAAAAAACATGTTGTTTTTACTTGATCATTTTGCTATATTTTTGTTGGTCTCACATAATGTGACAGAATGCAATAAAGGTTAAAGTTGTTAAGCTCTTTTTCGAGGGACTGAACCTGTGACGACATTTAGCCCTCAAATAAAGCACATGAAGGCCTCCCAGCCTTAGGACTTCACATCCGTCTCAGAGAGAACAATTCTTTTGCCATTTTTAGACCCAAGTGAACAGCTTGCCTCTAGGAGGCCCACAGCATGCTAAGGAGAAGGGTTAAGGTTAGAGTAGAAAGACGATGCTGAGCTAGAAGAGTTTGACTTTGAAAAGGGTCGTCTGAGACTTCAAGTATAACCCACAAATAAACTGGCCGAAGTTAAAAACCTGAAGAAGCAATGAAGAAAAAAAAAGTATTGTTTTCAGAAAATGATTGTGGCACACTGAAAAGACAGACAGGGTGTTAGGGTAGGGTAGATTACCTGAAACTAAACCACAGATGCATGCTAATACTAATCTTATATATTAAGCAAAACACACTGATTGGGGAATACATTCAGAAACTGCTAAGGTTAATTTAAGGAATTAACCTCTGACATATTGCAATTATAAAATGGAAGCGATATGTTTTAGAGCTCTACTATTTAGGAATAAAAGCAGTTCCACCCCCCTTCCTTTTTCACCCCTTAAACCCTCATTCCTGCTTCCTTCAACTTTCATTCCTAATTCCTTCCTCCAGCATCTCTATCCTGTTTCCTGGATCCTCTCTACCAACTCTATCCTGTATCTTCTTCGTTTAACCTATTTGTTCTACTCTGCCCTATAGGTAGCATTGTGAAGGTCCTTATCAAGCTTGGGGAATGGATGTGCTTTGACAGAACTGCCACTTTTAGTCTGGATCTCTCCAGCCTGCAGCTGCAAGCCCCAGATGATCCCATTAAAATTCATCCATCCTCTTCTTCCAAGACATCCAGCATTGTTTTGGCATGCTCCTTGCTAGTTAAATATATATACCGGTACTTTTTTTTGATAAAGCTTTTTTTTTTTTTCATCTTTGTTTTTTACATTTTTTAAAAATTTCACCTGACTTTATAGAAAAAAAGCTTATTATTAATTATTAAAGTAATCTAATCTTTTCTTTTTTAGAAAAAGTATGGTTTCCAAAATAATTATTATTTTACGATAGTATTTCAAGCAATTCTTTATACTGTCTAAAGGTATGAACGGTATTGTTAATCAATCCAACAGAAAGAGGGAAAGGCCTTATTTTTTTTAAAGTAAATATTCACTGTATTTAGTTTTTTTGTAAATTGTAACACATAAATACAAATTCAAAGCATTCAAATACTTTTTTTCCTATTATTGAACATTTTTTTTATTTAATAATAAAGACCAACATCTACCTTCATACAGCATTCATACAGAGATCCAAAAATTAAAATTAAAATGCTGGCTTTGAGCCTTTGAAACTCAACCAACAGACAGAGAAACTCTTCTCAGCTGCTCCTTCCTCTGTCCTGGAATGTCTTTATCATTTAAAAACACTTAACTAATGACTCTTCATGCATATGATCACTTTGCAATTCAAACAGCACCTTTAAAAGACAGGCCTGTTTGTTGCCTCTTTCAGACTATTGATATTTAAGAGTCAAGGTTGAACTTACCACCCTCCTCCCACTGATAACGCACACGCATTGACCTTATCCAAGACCAAAATTCAACGTTTTGTTCTACCAACAAAGACAAGTGCAAGAAGAGTATCACTTGAAGCTGTGTGCCATTCGAACGAAATGTGACAAGCGCTGCTCTGTGCGCTGGACTTGCAGCGACGCAAACAGTCTTCTCCTTATGGCTGCCATTCTCTGGATAGTTACAACATTTGCTTGTGTCAGACAACCAAGTTCATTCAGTGTATCAACAGCAGGACAATGGCCACATTTCACTTGGCCACAAGATTATGAGCACAATGAAACGCAGTGTTAAAGCTTTCAAAGCTTTCTTCCCGTCCTGAATGAACAGAGTAAAACCCACAGCTGAGCTTCATACAGTAGGTTGTTTAAGCCTGGCTGCGTTTAAGAGTCACAACGTTCACAGTTGAGTGTTTTGAGTCATGCTGTTAAGTAACTGAGACCAGTGTAAACGTCCGTTCAATCAGCTGGATTTTGGACAATTTACGGCATCGCCTCGGAAAATTATTTATCAAAGACACCCGGAGATACGAGCATATTTGCCAAAATTTAGGAACAGTAAATTGGTATTTTCTAGTCTTGTTCCAGTGGACAGGAAATGTTGAAAATGCATTCACTAAACACAACACAAAGCAAAAGAGGGGACACAGAGTTAGGAGTTGATGCAGTGGATCCAGATATAGAATCAGCGGAAAACTCTTTTTAAAAGTTAATTTAAACGTATGTCTAAATTCTTTCGATCTGTTCATTAAGAGTTGCTTTTAACTTCAGACGATTTGGGAGCAACAACAACAGCAAAAACACATGTCAGGCAAGAGCCAAAATCCCACCATAAATGTCTTCCTTCTGGTGTTTACAGCACACAAATGTGGACCTTAGAAAAATGTATAAGAATAACATAAAAGTGAAGAGTTAAAAGATAAATAATAAAATACTGCACTGTAAAGTGTTTTAACAATATAAAAACTGTGCGCCTGAAGAATAAATAACCAATATGCAGCAATGGACATAGTTACAGTGATGGATTGAAAATAGCAACAACATGAGAGATGTGCAAAATGATAGAAACTGTGCAAAATTAGCATGATTGTAACAACTTATTGAGGTGTTGGGAACAGTGGTGGTTATATAGTCTTACAGCTGCTGGGAGGAAGGATCTGTGATAACGCTCACTGGTGTATTTAGAGTGCAGTGTTATCTAAACAAAAAGCAATGAAGCAGGTCTCTTTCAGTTTCCTGAATGGAACTATTGAATGAGTTCACGATCAGAAATATTTCCAAACAGCCATTGTTCTGCTGTTCTTGGCAACAACGAAAGCATATGAGCCTTCTTTGAGCCAGCTGACCAACAGTGTGCAGCAATAGGTAAGTATGGAGTATTGGTATATAACAAATACATCTTTCTTTCTTCACAATAGGGCTGTTCCTTTTGTAAATATTTTAGTGTTTTGTATTTAATCAAACAATAAAGAACTTCTTATAGCATTAGAATCTACAAAGAACAGAGACATATGTTGCTAAAAAAAACTTTAAAATATCAGTTAGCTTGGCCACTATCAATATAAATAAGAAAATTCCCCAGTTTTTTTTTTTATTTGGAAGCATCATTATGTTGGATCTAAGTTCATTTTTAAATCCAAGATCAAAAATTATAGGCAAATAACAAGATTTCAGCTTTATCATCTAAAGAAATCTTTCAATACAATTAGTTCCATCATGAGTCTGGAGGTACAAAGATTAAGTGATTTATTTCTTCTTTTTTTTTTGTTATAATTCATTCTCATAGAGATATAAACTGGGAAATCCAACCGTTAATTGATCAATATATTGAACCAAGAATCAACATACAAATTGGAAAGAAATACAAGCACAAAACCCCAAACCATGGGGAGAGGCAATTAACAAATATGACAATTATATACAAAAAAATATGCAAATCCATCTTGTCATATTATTTAAGAAAGAAAGACCGTTAATGCTGTTAAAAACCAGCATAATGCTGTAAAGTTTGTGAAATTTGGTCTCTTGCACTTTGATATGATTCGGATCAAAGCAAAGATCAGTCATTCCTTCTTGGAGGCTCTTATTGCAGAAGTTAGTTGACCCTTACATTTATTAGTTGTAGCTTCCCACTTGTACCACAATTTCATGATCACTCTTCAAAACTAGTGGTAATCTGTGTGAAAACATGGCAGTCCTCTATTTACTCATTTATAAACATTTGAATTGTTAGTTACCAGTAATTCACCACCCATCTTCAATCTAGATAGACAATTGTGCAAAAATCCACAGACAGCATGTACCATCCCTATTTTAGGGTGATCAAAGGAGATTTGTCAATCAAAACACTTGCTGCATCCTAAGTTATTTCAAAAAGGGCAGCAAACACATCATCCCATATGTGTTTGCCTCCAAGATGGATGGGTGCACCTCCAGACACAACAGATAAACCGATTAAATCAGCTTTAATTGGAAATTGAACAGCACTGCAATGCAATTAACTCAATGAATTCAAAGACTGATCAATAGAAGCTGTCTGTGGGTCGTGGTGACTGTTGTGCTCGCGGCCTCAGCAGTCAGCTCTGCTCTGCAACCCATCCGTCTCTGCTGCAGATGCAACACAAGAGCCCCCTTCATCCGCAAAACATCACCAGCTTCCCCTCATTTATCCTCACTAATGCCGCTTAAAGTGGTAAATAAAGCAATTCTGCACACAGTCTGATCATATGACCGCAGCGCTTTAAAAGGTGTTATTTATCTCCCCTCTTCTCAAACGAGATGGACTCAGCCCATAGAGGACGAGGCGGCTGCACCGGTTGGTGCAAAAGTAAGATTAAAACAAAAGCGACTTTACCGCAGAAAATCAGATCAATCCATCGGAGTCTGCAGCAGAGGTTTACTGGAGGAATTCCTTGATGTTTTTTTCTCCTCCGTCTGTTTTTTTTTTTTTTTTTTTTTAAAACACAGAAGGAGAACAGAGGAGGGAGACTCGTCCCTGCCGGAGAGCCTGTCGCCGCCGTGTGTCCGGATGATGACGATGGAGAGAGGACGCTGTCAAGTCGCCATAGCAATGACCATTACTTCCGGTATCGACCTTCAAAATAAAGCAATTTATTCTCGAGTAAACTTATGATTTCTATTTGAATACATGTAATCCCTTACACTTTTTAAGTTATTGTTTCACTTATCATCAAATAGGTTTATAATAATTAACATTATTATCACATATTTATGTGCAAATATGTCACATTTTACTCCATAAATGAGAGTCACTGCTTTAACTTCCGGTTTGTCTCTTTTGTCTTGTGGCAGTTGTTTTTGCGTGGGGCTGATGCAGAGCCAGGCCGCCCTGATTGACACTGTTTTCCTTCAATGAGAGTTTACAATGTGGGTCACCTCCTCATCCGTCAGAATGCTGGAAAACAGGATTCTGTTGGATATATTTTTCTCTCTGTTTTTTTTCTTTTAATCAAGTGGATTTCAGTTCTTTGGAAGCTGTACTGATTTCTGTTTTAAAGAGGGATTTTAATTCTAAGGCAGTGGCAGTTCTAGATGAAATTAGCAAGAGGGGCCAGGCTGGGGCCAGTGTGTTTTGCAACCCACACACACACAATAACAAACAAACAAACAAACAAATAAGGCATAATTTAGTGAGCCCAGAGGTGTCAAGCAACAAAGTCAGTGGCGGTTCTGGACCAAATGTGCCAGGGGGCCAGGAGGGGGCCAGCGTGTGTTATCATGGGGGCCCAGAAAGCATGAAATAAAAAACAGGGCAAATGATCCAAATACATTCAAATAGCTGCATGAAGTGAAAATTCTATTTAGTTAGGTTTATTTAAAATTCTATGTCTTATTAGGTCAATATACAGTGATAATTTAGAAATTCTACATATTTTTGATGTAATTTAAGTCAAAATTAAAATCTGAATTGGAATTCAAGAAAAACTGATCATTTCAGCTGTAAAAAATTAGAGCAAATTGTTTAAAAAAAACATTTAGCAGATGAAAACTGGGATCCTATCTCACTTCCATTGAAGCTATCACCTTATTGTGTTTAAATAATTACTAAAACAGAATTTGTAAAGAAGAAAATGAAATAGATCCAAACGAACTATCAGTAACATGTCTGTTCCAGCGCATATCATAATTAAAATTTCTTTGAGTATTATGTCTTCAGTACAGGGGTCATAACAGGGGCCAGGACATGATCTACAGGGGCACTGGCCCCTGTTAGCCCCGGTCTAGAACCGCCCATGAATGAAGTACAAATACGTCATTACTAGACTTAAGTAAACTTTTTAGGTATCTATACTTTACTCCATTACTTATTTTTCTTCCTACTTCTGACTTCTTCTCATTACATTTTCACAACTATCTGTACTTTCTATTCCTTACATTTTTAAAACAAACGTTACTCGTTACTCTTGGCTTCGGTTTAATGTTTATAAATATTTATTTCACGTCATGTGCGCCATCCAATGCAGATCATTGGCGCCATCCACATCTAGTGAAAACTAGTGTAATTAGATGAGTCATAGAACGCAAACACTCATTGGTTAGCTAAAGGAAATCATCAGAAGCAAGCAGGTGTTCTTAAAACTGTAAACGTGAATTATCTATGCCATGCTACAATGACGGATTCAGAAAAAGTGTTGAAATGTCTGAAAGTTCGGAAACAGGTGAGAGCGTATCGGGAGATGGAGACCATCGGACCTCCCTTATCTTTGGCCCTATTTCAAAGAATTTTTCGAATTTTTTTATACTTTTATTCTTTAATTAGTTTTTGGAGCACATACTTTTTCACTTTCACTTGAGTAAAGAGGTCAAGTTGATACTTCAACCTTTACCAGAGTGTTTTTAAACTGCAGTATCTATACTTCTACTTCAGTAACAAATGTGTGTACTTTTGACACCACTGAGTGAGCCACATAGCCAAGGTTGCTGATCTAACGGATAAAAACTGTGATCCTGTTGTATTACAACTGAAGCTTCAAGCTGTCTGCAACTTCTAAATGTCTTAAAACGTACTTAAATAAGCATATTAGCACTTCATTTGAACAGGTACTTATGATGAGCTGCAAAAGTAATAAGTATTTTTGCTCATCAGTCATTATGCACTTGAAATAAGTTAAAAGAATTTTACTTGTTATTTTTAATATAAATCATCCTGTTCCGTTGGAAAATCAAATCTACCTTCCTAAATCAATAGAATTTTTTTTTAATGAAAACATTTTTATTATTTTGCACTGTAAGCTTTTAGTACAGGGGCCATAACACGGGCCAGGACCAGTTTTATGGGGTTGCTGGCACCTGTTGGCACTTAACAAACATTAATATTAAATCTAAATTTGAAGTTAACAAAAAGTTTCACTCATCTCAGTTTTTCAGAGAGTTGGTTCCAGAGCTGAGGAGCAAAGAAACTTAATGCTAATGCTATATCCTGTTGCTTTGATTCAGTCTTTTATCAATACATCTCTTGTCCTGAGGTGGACTTATTGGTCTGTGGTCATTTGGTGTGACAGTTACACTGACTGCAAGGTCAGGAGTCTCAAAACCACAGATGACCTAAGAAGAGCCAAATATTATATAAATATTTCAGATTTTTATGAAGTAGAATTGTTGCACATCAGATTTTGGTCCTGTTTTTTTTTTCCAACGACTGCAATGTTTTTGAATTTTTTTCATCCTTGGTCCTCTTTTTGTTGTCCGATTAGCTGCACTCTAATCCTTGGTTGACTGAGATATCTTTTTAAATTCTTTTTTACTTAATTTTTCTGCAACAAGTCATGAAGTCTTATTATACTGACTTAATGCTATTAAGCTTGTAGAGTGTGACATGTTCAAGTCCTGTACCCAGAGCCTGATCTGCCTGCACTCATTTTGAACTTGCACAGTGTGTTCTGGCGTTTAACTGCTCTTCAAATGAAAAAGACAAGAGGCCATGCCATATGTGTGAATATTAATACAAGAGGGAAAGGCTACATAAAAACTGCGTGCCTAAAGTTGCCTAAATCTACAGTCATTTGCAGTGACAGGGAAAGCTAGATAAGGAATAAAGCCCAACACAGAGGCAAACAACTTTTTTATTTATTTATACATTAACAATTCAAGGTGATCAGAGTAATTATGACTTTAACAATCCACAACATAAGTAGGGTATAAATCTTAGAGCTCCATTTCTCTAAGCCACTCTACCAAATGGGGAAGACAGGGGAACATGCCTCGTATGAATTAATAAATCTCAAGCCTGTTGTTCTTTATGAGACATAAAATAGCTACATGCCAATACCTCCTGAAATATGCAGTTGGGTTGATAGTTTGTTCCCTCGAACAACAAATATCCAAACTGAGCTTTTTATGTTGGCCTAGTGGTTTTGGTAGTGCGCTTGTGCTCTGAGAAGGTTGCAAGTACCTGGGTCGATCCCCACAGCCTTCACTCTGGGTGCCTTAACCCCACATCCAAGGGGAAGGGTTAAAGGCAGAGGGTGAATTGCTCCAGTGTGAGATCAATAAAGTTTAATTATCATTTTATCAATATTACTAAATGATAAAGAAAAACAGCAAGAATTCTGGAACAGGACTTCAGGTTACCAGCCAATTGGCTCTTTGGGAATCCCCTTGCTTGTTGGAGCTAAGAATTGTCCATTGCTTTGCTTTGGATGTGTTTTATTGGTCAGGTACCACAAAACATCATATATTGCATTTTGGAGCATTTCTTATTTATTTTTAAAAATAAAATGATAAATAATACAAAACAAATACAATTAGGTGGCTTAGTGTAAGAATTTTAAATGCAGGCTGATGTTTTGGTATTGCTGGGGAAGATTCTGTCATCCAGGTCATAGTCAATCCCAAAATCTACTGGATTTTGTTTCCAAGTTTTAAGACATTTCGCTTCAAACTTGGAAGCAAAGTTCTTTCAAACTTGGAAACAAATTTCAGTAGATTGTTTTTTTTTTTTACTTTTTTTTTTTTTTAATGTTTTGGATTTCAAAAACACACTAACTAAATAGATTAATTGTCTTTATTTTCACCATAAGGGTTTTAGCTTTGTTTTTCATTTTTTCTTGGTTTAATATCCTGCTCAACTTTTCTAAAGATGTGGCTCTGAAAAAATGTATTATTCTTTAACTATATATATGCACACGTTTCCTGAAATAACTCAGCTGCATGGTTTGAAATAACCGAAAAGTGCATATGTTTAACATTTTTCTTTTTTGGGTTTCCAGCATTGTATTTAAGAATCTTCAGTTCAGTGAACTAAATGTTTAATCTTTTGTTGTTGTTTGAAACCACTCCATGCCCCGCTGCCTTTATCCGCAGGTTTGAATATTCATTGAAGCTTCTCATCATAATTTCAGCTTTGCATGTAATCAGAATACAGCAACAATGAACATGGCCTAGTTAGCGTGATGAGCGAGGAGGTCGTGGGGGGGTGAAAGAAGTCACCCTAATCCTCAGTCTGCTGTGAGTGTTTGCTGTGCAGTCTCGACTTCACTTTCACGCTGCTCCTTCACAACCAGAGGTCACAGTTGCTAAAGCGCAGCGTCAGCCTGCTCTCAGCTTCTTCCTCGCAGCCATTTTGGACCGGTAACCATAGAGATGTGGCTCAGTGGTAGAGAGAGAGATGATTTGTTGCTGCTGGTGGAGCTGGAGTGCTGCAGGCTGGCGGAGCAGACAGCAGAGCCATAAAGTCTCATTATATCTGGGTCACTGGGATGCTCCAGCTGCAACAAGCAGACAAGACACTATTATGCAAGAGAAGCGACTAGGGATGTTATGGGTACAGGGGCTTATGGTTACAGGGAAGGTCTGTTTATTCAGAAGGGCATATGCCAGGAGGGTGCCCTGATAATATGGCAGCAGACAGGCTAAAACGATCTAAACACAATGATGTTTTCATATTGGACTATAATGATTCTGATTCAGAAACAACAGCTTCCATTCTGATTACAGTAGAAGATGTGTGTTAGATGAGCTGATCGGAGACTAAATGTAGAGGTTTGT